CAACATGTGGTTTTAATAACAAATAAGGCTTGGCAAATGAGTGTTGACTTAGAATTTAAAGTTTTATACATCTGCCATGACTAACCTCTGAGCCAGTTTGTAGCTCAGCCCTCAGTCTGTATTAAATAATTTATCAGTAACAACTTTATTTTTTTTCTTTCTGCATATCAGTTTTCTGGGATTACCTATTTGTAATTGGAAAATACTTATCAGTAAACCATTTGGTGAAACTTCATAATAAATTCACGCCTTGTCAAGGTTTACAAAGTAGGCATGGATATCCCTCAGGGATCCATTTTGTCCTATACTTGAATTATTTTTATAGTGCATCAAAACACCAATTTCAGAATAATCAAACATGATATGATAAAACTATCTGTGCAAAGGTTCCTACTGAAATCAGATGTCTGAGTCAGATCACATTGTTATCCTCTCTGAAGACTGGGCACACATGGCTGTCTCTTCCTTCTTCCCTCCTCTGGTGGCCCAGCGTTCATAGCTGCTCAGTGTCAGTATGCCTGTCCTCTGAAGTAGATGACAGGCTTGAGAGATGGAGAAGTTGCCAGTGCTGCTGTGTGGGAAGAGGAGAGGCCACATCAGATTTGAATGTCCTGCTGTCCTGACCAGGCCTCAACTAGTATAACGTTGCATTAATAAAAATATTAATGTTGCATTAATAAAAATATTCTGGTATAAGAAGAAATAATGTAAAGAGCTAAAATAATATTCTTTATTAGTTACCAAAGTTTATTTATAATCCCAATTTTATTTAGCCTCATATTTTATGTCCATGACAAACCCTTTTTAAACTCAAATATTAGCAAGGCGTATATGGGATCATTGAAAAATGTAACCGGAGTAGGATTAGATTGGATTTCTAAAATCTGCTGTCTCAAGTGAGCTGCAGAAGAGCAGGGGCTCTTGTGGAAGAACAGACACCTTGTAGAGTAAGGATAGGTGGTGGCATACTTGTGGACAAGCAGATGACTTTGGAAAGATGAGTGGCACTCACACTAAAGAATGCGGCACCTCGGGATAGGGTCTGAATGGTGACATTGACCTCCAGGAAGGGCAACTTCCGGTTGCTTCTGGGCATTTATGACCATGGACTTCTTTTAACCAGTTCTTTTTTCAAGCAGATAAAAGGGTTTTGAGAGCTCCAATGCCTTCCTCTCAAAATGACTTTCTTGTTACAGTGGTGTGTTCTGCATTACTTTATGTCATAGCTTTTTCTGAGAATAATTCAACTGTATTTGTATCATAGTTGTTCCTCTTTGAAATATCTGTTCCTTTTAAGCTGGTTTTAATGAGCTGTTATTTTTAGGTCTAGGGAACATGCTCATTTCATGGCTTGTGCTTTTTCACACACTCATCCAGCCTGGTCCCCTCACATAAGACGGGAATGTAGAGCGGGTACCGTAAGCTTTCTACGAAGCAGCAGGTCAGATGGCTTTTTAGGCTTTGCATGCCGGACCTCTCTGTTGTAGCTGTTTAGGTCTGTTGGGTAGCGGGAGAGCAGTGCATGGAAGAATGTGGCTGGTTTCACACAGCTTCACTCAAAGGCAGCCTGGGGTCGGGAACATTTTGTCACCACCAGCAGAACTCTCCTGTGCCCCTGCCTCCACCATCCACCATCCTCTTAGCCAACACCTTAGGCTGAGGGTGTGTGAAAATGCATTGTTTATTTAGACAACTTGAACTATACAGTAAGTCTCCTTTGCTATCTGGCGCTTGTCGCTGCTGCCCTCTAGTGGTTATTTCTCAGGTCCATTTCTCCATCAGGTAAAGACTCACTAGTAAAAACCAGCATGTATTGAAGCAGACTACTGTAAGGGACTGTGGGCATGCTCCAGTCCTGAGGGTGGGGCCTGGCCTCTTAAGTATTCTATAGAGTGGGGTGGGGCTAAGTCTGCTTTCTCCTTGAATCGGACTGGGAAAGATTCCATTTTGTGATTGGGTAGGTTCAGCTGAGAAGCAGGATCTTACTGGATAAGTCAGGTTTAGAGGGATCTGAGATTCATGCTGAGGAAAAGCTGCCAAAAGAGCCTTTCTTTTGGACAGGAACTTGGTAGTCAGCCATCTTTGATCAAAGTGAAAGAGTCAGAGGTCAGCTGGGCTGATCCAGACCCTTTCCCTAGCTGTTTGCCTGGTTAGGACTTAAGTACAGTGGGTCTCAGCTTTTCCAATTCTGCTCCTTTAATACAGAGTCTCATGTTGTGATGACCCCAACCATAAAGTTACTTTCATTGCTACTTCACAACTCTAATTTTGCTACTATTTGTAATTGTAATGCAAATATTTGTATTTTTTCAATGGTTGACCCTTTTGAAAGGGTCATCTGACCCCAAAGGGGTTGTGACCCACAGTTTGACAACTGCTGATTAATTATTTCCCATTTTTCTTTAGCTTCACACATTGTTTAGAGTTCAGGCACACAAGCTACAGTTGTCTCTTCCTTTGGGTTGTTGAGTGGTGTTTAGTTGAATAAGATGTGACCATTGGCTCATCTGTTCCCCTACAGGTAGACATTTGGGCTGTCACATTGACAACTGTGTGACCCACCTCCATAGTGGTGGCTTCCTCTAACTGTGAATGACAGCAAGCAGCCTGCACAGCCTTGACTTAAGATTTGAAAAATTTTCACACATCAGGAGTTTGTTGCATGAGGGACCTTTCAGTACTCAGAGCCCGAAGTGAAATGATATATTCAAGCATTTACAGTATGTTTGGTTGCCTTTGTCTGTCAGCTAATCTTATTGTAGGGAGTGAAGCTGGGGTTTATTGTAGGCTTTCATTGTAAAGTGAATGTTCCAGTGAATCATTGGGCCAGGGTGCTCCAATACATGTAAGTTTCCTCTTTAAGCTGAAAGAAGAATTGTATGCATAACTTGCAATTGAGGCAAAGGGCAAAACGTTTATCTACGGAACAAAAATTAACAGCCAAATAAATTTAGGTAACAGGTAACATTCTGTGTAGTCTTTTAGGTTATTCTAATTAAAAAAAAAGAGTAATTCTAGCAATAGTTTTTATAGTCATTTAAGCCTTTTCATTTACAGGCGTGAAATTTAATATTGTTGTAGGATGTGATGTCTTCACATTTGGGAAGGAAAAGTCCCAAGAAGAAACTTAGAAGACTCTAAGTCCTGCCTGCTACTCCTCTTGGCTGTATCTCACGGCACAGTATGATTCCTTAAGGCTTTAGACACGTTCTTAGAAGCCTGTTTTACAGCCAGGTTTTTGGCTTTGGTATTTGATTTCATTGAATATACTGCTCTTGAGTTTCAGGATGGTCAGTGTCAGAAGTGTTTTGGGAATCAAAACACTAAACTTAATTTAACTTCTTGTGGGAATTTGACACTTAGGGTAGGTGACTGCTCATTATGACATGGACCAGTTTCTCCAAGATTTTCATTTGTCAAATTAATCCAACTAGTGATACTGACGCACACACTCCCACTGCCATTTTCTTTCTGAGCAGGGCAGATTCCGTCTCTGAGGTGCTGTCAGTCCAATTCAGCAGCACCGTCTGCTTTAGACAGATGCTGATGGACTTTGAGTTCTGACTAAGCACAGCAGTCGCTTCCCACCCCAAGTTCTTGTGACGATAAATGGTTGTCACACACCTGCTAATTCCTCCAGAAGGTGTTGGGTGCACACTGGTTGACACTGCCTGCAGTCTACATGGGCACAGTCTACACGTTCTATACCTGAACTAAACTGCTTAGAGACCAGCAACATGGGGCCACTGTGCCCAGTATCACCTCTGTTGGCACTGAGTGTGCCAGACAGGGCAGTGATGGGAAGGCAGCAGCTGGAGTCCACTGGAGTTCATTTTTATTTTGGAAAAGTAGGTGCGGCTTTTTTTTTTTTAAGATTTTCAAAAAGTTCAGTTAAAAGTAAAGGGGTAGTTATACTGTGTGGGAATTAATAAGCAGATAAACATGGCTAGAGGCCTTTGCAGGTAAGTTAGTAGTTAGGAATCAAGTTCCTAACTGTGTGTCTCTTGGCAAGTCACACAGTTTCTTTGAAGCCAGCCTGCTCATCTGTCAACAGAGCGACAACCATACTGATTGGCTTATGGCTTGTTAGCCGGTTCAGTGAAGTACAGCTTACTGAGGACTTGGTGATTCTGTCCCATAGTTGGAGTGCTCACTGTAACCACTTCTAATTATTGTGATCATGACCTCTCTTGACGACCGAAGGTGACCTTCTCCCTGGTTCTGTCGGGTTTATTGTAGAGTCTGTGTGGAGCACCGTTCTCAGAACTTTTTTTCTTCAAGGGCACAGCTGTTCCCTCGTAGGCAGTCAGCAGGTTTCTGGAGTCTGCCATGTTGACATGCTCCTGCAAGTGCCTCTGGACTTGCTTGCTTCCCGTCCCCTCGATCCTCTCCTCTGTCTCCCTCTTCCTTCCTGTCTGTCACCCTCCAGTTTCTTTCCTTCATGCCTGCCTGTCCTCCGTCTTCCCCGCTGTCCTCTCCTCACACTTTTTCCCACTCCTCCCTCCCCTCCTTTCACTTGCTTTTCTTTCTCCCCTTTGTCTTTCTTCATAATGCCTCCATCTTTTACCTCTTTCCCTCCTCCTCCCCCCATCCGTTCTCTTCTGCTCATCTGCTTTTCTGAAGGCTCACACTACTTGCTGAAAGTACACCGCTATCGCTCTCACATAGAACCGGGCCAGCTCTCACTGTTGCTGTTACTATGGGAGATGGTTTGTGTCCTGTTCCTGTGTCAGCCTTGTCTCTGTGGGATTTTCTCTCCATCTCACAGGGCTTCACAGGGCTTTTTATGTTCCCTGAGCTTGAAATAGAAGATAATCTATGGCCAAGGTTTATCAGCTTTTTAAATGTGTACTGCACCTGCTTATTTGCTTACTATTGGCTTATTGCAGCCATACAATAAAATGAAACACTGTAATAATTGCAGGTTCTTATAATAATGCCAGGTCAACCACTGATTTACTTTTATCTAATCTGCATGATTTTTTTTTCTCTCTCTCCAGATTCCTTTCTCCTTGGTCCAGTTTCCCTTGTGGGAATTCTTGAAAGTAAGTTTTTTAATCATCATGTGAAGATTTTTCCCTAGTGCTCAACAGTGTGGGTATGCGGTGGAAAAGATGCTAGTGAGTAGAAGTTTAAATACTCCAGATTACCAGCAACTGAGAGTGTTTTTTCCCATGTGACTTAGAGGCAGTGTCAGACATTACTGGGGTGTGTGCTGTCAGGTACAGCAGGTGGAGCTGAGACTCACATGCTGGAACCATCTTGCTTCACTCTCCCCTGGACTGCCCTTTTCTCTCCACTTAATTGGATGGTATGCGTGAGCATGTGGAGGTGAATGGGCTTGCAGGAACAGCAGTGAGGCTGTAAGCAAGATTCAGCCCCCTCCGGCCCCGAAAGGACAGAAGGAGCAGCGTCAGGCTGAGAGGTTCTGACTATCCTTCCCCTCTGCCACGGAGTCCTAGGGGAACTAGGAGCCTTGAGTGACTGCATCCTGGAGTTGGGGAAGGTCACTCATCTGTTTAGATAGAAGGGAACACTATGGGGTGAGGGCTGGGAAGGTGGCTCAGCAGGTGAAGAGGGCTTGTCACACAGGCCTGAGAATCTGGTTCAATCCTGAAAACCTACATAGAAAGCCAGTCTGGTCGTGTATCCCAGGATGCCTATGGTGAGCTGAGGTGGCAACAGTAGGCTGGGAGCCTGTGGGCTGTGGTGTGGAGTATGCCGAGGAGAGTGCCTCAACAAGGTCACCCTCTAATGTCCACACACAGGCATGCACGCATGCACAGAAACTGATTAACTAAATTACTTAAACATGCATAGGCATCGCATCTGTTCGTCCTCATTTGAGGCGATGATAGTGCTATGAATTACATGTGTCTTTGCCAGCATTGCCAAGGGCTTAATAAACAGAGTACTACATGATCCAGGTCATCATCATCTGTACAACATACACATAGAGAGCTGTACTTAGCCTGTATGTCTGCAATGTAGACTGTATGTCTTGCCAGGATAATGGTCCCGAAAGATGGAAAGTTCTTGTTCAAGTGAGAAGGGTTTATAAATAATGAAACAGGAAAATGGCAAAGTATTGAGGTAGGAATTGGGGCTGGGGACAGCTTGGAAGTACAGTGCTTGACAGGCATGCTTAAAACCCCAAGTTCAATCCCACTACTACTGCAAGAAAAGGAACAGACAAAAGCCAAGCTGATGCCACCATAATTTTATGGGTTTGCTGTGCAGGGTGTATCTATAGAAAACACTCTCTAAAAGTATCATAGAAGTTAGTTTGGACTCCAAAATAAATCCTATTAAAGTTGCATACCAAAAAATAATAAATGAATTAAAAACATTGCTCTTTTTAAAAGTAAAATGGAAGCTGGAGCCAGCAAGATGGCATCTGCCTTCAAGCCTGATGGCCCAAGTTCTATCCCCAGGATTCACATGGTAGAAGGAGAGAACCAACTCCTAAAAACTATCTTCTGACCTCCAATCCATGTTACGAGAGTAACATGCATGCACACACATGGGCACATGTGCTCTCCCTGCCCCCATCACACAAATTAAGTTTTTTTAAAGTTTCAGATAAACTAGAACACTAAAGATTTATTGCATGTCATGATTTTAAAAGGTACTTCCTCCTATTTAATGGAGTTTTGGGGTCTTTTGTTGTCATGTTTCAATGTTTCCTTCATGGTGCAGGGTAAAAACAGATTCCTTGGCCCGCTTTTCAAGGCGTGATGTAACAGCTATCCAATGAGAAGGTCACATTCCCTTAGCATACCAGGTCCCTTTTCAGTGTGTGACAAAAGAACAGCGAGGCCAACAGCAAACAAGAGCCCTGTGTGAGCTCCTCAGTGACCAGCATTCACAGACTGCAGGGCCTAACAATAACCAGCATTCACAGACTCTGTGCACACTAACGCCCCGGCACTCCGCGTCTGCAGGAATGTTTGCAGGTCCAAAGATGGAAGAAGTACGGGTTTGGTTCATTTCTTTCCAGAAATTTAAGGACATTTGTAGAATTCTGGCTAACTAAGAAACTGCTTGGATTTTTATAGTAATCACAGATTCCAGTACTGTATTTAAAGTTCTTTTTAAAGTTTTAGTTTTATGTGTTGCCTGCATGCTTGTCTCTATACTACATGTGTACCTACTGCCTGTAGAAACCAGAAGAGGGCATTGGCTCCCATGGTACTGTAGCTACAGATGGTTGTGAGCAGCTGGGAATTGAACTCGGGTCCTCTGGAAGAGCAACCAGTGCTCCTAACTTTTGAGTCATCTCTCCAGTCCTGTTAAACGCATGTGTGGAGTAGTACATAGTTTTAGTTCCTCAAGGAATACTATGCATGCAGTAAACATGATACATCAGTTCTGAGGGTGTTTATAGCCTACTACTAGCATTCACGCAGCCCAGCTCGCTCACATTCCTGTGTTGTCAGTGCCCTTTCTGCCCCAAATCTCCAGCAGTCACTGCTTTCTACTGCCCATAAGCAGGAGAGTGTGCCTGTGGTATCCCATGCTCAGCTTCCTTCTCTTCTAGAGTGCTGTTGGGCCTTTGTATTGCTTTTTGCCCCTGTGGCATTTCAGAATATGTGGCTCCATTCAGTGCTGATACACATTTGATCTATTCCCAGGTTTCCCTGGTTATTCATTGAGTTTCTGTAAATATCCATGTGTAGTATTTGTATGGACATATGCTTTTTTATCTCTTTCTCAGAAAGCTGCCTAGAACTGGTGTCCCTAGGCTGGAAAGGGATATGTGCTAATTGTATAAAACTTTGTTCAGGTGTTTCCTTAATTGTATAAAAGTCTATAAGGGTGTGTGTGGTTTCCAGTGCCTTCTGTGTTCTTACCAGCACGTGTGAGAGATTCCTCTTCTATGTCTCTGCTATGTGTCCACTGATTTAAAGAAAACAGCCACTCTAATAGCTGTAGAGGACTGTCTCATCATCATCAAGTCATTTTGATTCGAGCTTTCCTCAAGGTTAAATAATGGTGTGCATGTCCTGCATGTCCTAATATATTCTGTGTTGTTCTTTAACAGCTAAACATGAGATCATAGAGTCTTTGTGGAAGCAGAAACCTTGTGACTGTGTGTGTGTGTGTGTGTGTGTGTGTGTGTGTGTTTGTGTGTGTATGTGTGTGTGTGTGTGTGTATGTATGTGTGTGTTTATGGTTTTACCTATGTAAGTTGCTTTTGTCATGTAGGGAGACTTTTTTTTTTTTGGTTTTTGGAGACAGGGTTTCTGTGTGTAGCCCTGGAACTCACTCTGTAGACCAGGCTGGACTCAAACTGAGAAATCCACCTGCCTTTGCCTCCCAACTGCTGGGATGGGAGATTGTGTTTTATGAGGTGATTTCTCTGTTGTGCTCCTGTGGGGACATGACTTCGGAGACTCTCTCAGCCAGGACCCTGGCAGAACAAAGCATGTAGTGAGCAGTGGGAGTCTGGAGGTGACGTGGACACCACTGTCCTAAAAGTTCTTTGTCCAAGTCCCTGTGGTCACCTTCCTTGTAAGCTGACTTCTTCCAGCTGTCCCCCACTTCTGTGTTAACCAGAGCTATGATACTTCTTATCCTGAGAGACCTTGTAGCATTAATGTAATCTTCTCCTCAGCTTTGAGGGAGCAGTAGTCCTCACTTGTACATGTGTCGCTCAAGGTATTTGCCTCCTCTGTGTGCCAGCCTAGGGTCCTTAGCAGTCTCATTGACACCCTCTCGTAAGGTGTCACAGGGTGACCAGTTCAGAACAAGATACCCAGCCTTTAAGTGGAACCCTGGGGATCATTCCAGACTTCCCCCTTCATTTATCTATGTGTGTTCCATCAGCAAAGCATTGCTCCAGCTCCAGACTCTACCCTACCTACCCCTGCTGTGCCCCGGATGCACCCCCAGGTTACCCTCAGGGTATTTTGAGACATATTTTTTTGCTATGTAGACCAAGCTGGCTGAACTTGGAATTCTGCGTCAGCCCCTTGAGTGAGTGTGGGAGTTACAGGTGTATGCTACTGTGTCCAGCTTGGTTTTGCTCTGGATTCCCTAACTTCCTTCATCCCAGATGGTCAGGTGCTCTTTTACTGAGGTGAGTCACATCATATACCTCTCCTCAGACCTCTCTAAAACCTTAAAAGGAGGAAGAGTGTCTCCTCCTCTTCCCTAGCCTAGCCCCTCACCTTGCTCATTACTCCTTGTATAGCTACCTGCACTGCTCCCCCGTGACCCATGCACCTGGTGTGCCGTGCTCTCT